AGAAGTGCAACTCCTCTTTAGAAGATTAATGATGAAGTAAAACTATTTGAGTCTCCAGGTTTTAACTCAAATAGGACTGGTTCAGAATAATTTGAGAACTTGAAGAAACTGAAAATTTGGCATAGGGTTGGTCGGCATCTGAGAAGAGAACAACAAATTAACATATTGATTCAACTCTTCTATTAGAATAAGCTGGCTACACTGCTGGTAGTATTTGAAACTACCTTTTTTGCCAAAAATGTGAGTGTAGAAGTCCATCTTTGGAGCCTCAAAATCGTTCCAAAAAGAGGGTCAACTTAGAACTCTTGATTTATTCTGTGATGTCAACCATTACTCAATAAACCAATTTAATGAGTCCTTAATCAAAAGTTAGATTATTTGTAAGTTTGTAAAAGTGATCAACCTTCATGTACCTGCGTTCAAAAGCTATTGAAATCAGACTTTGAAAGTTAGGCTTCTTTGCAAAAAGATACTTAAGTCCTGACAACTCTTTTTTTTGTGTAAAATTTGAAGTGTCAGTGAGGTGGGTCATCATTTTTAAATGTGAGAAAGAAAAGATTGCACATACAATAGTATAATTCAATTAAAATAATATACAGTAGTATATTCAAAACAGTAATTGCATGAAAATGCCTTTAAACACAAAGCATTTTAAGACCCATTAAATTAATTGTTTTTGGCATCTGATGAAAATAATTTGTTGAATTCATTCTGTGTCAATTTCGTTATGGTATCAATGCAAGTGGTCCACTTTGAATCTCATATAGTACATTCTGTTTCAAAATTTATCTCCTGAAAAATCACATTCCTCTCTGAACAACTAATTGGTTATTCCTGCATTTTGCAAGCCTTCTTCGTTTGTGGGATGTAGATGTGGCCATCTAGGCAAGCAGTGATCGCCTATCCTTAATTGCCCAGGGCAGTTAAGACTCAATCACATCTTTACAGATCTGGAGTCACAATAAGGCTAGACCAAGTAAGAATGGTAGACTTGCCTCCCTGAAGGACATTAGCGACAGCTTTCTATAGACAGTGGTTACATGGTGACCATTGGGCTTTCACCATCAGCTGTGGTGGAATTCAAAACCGTATTAAGGAGAACATTCGCCTAGCATTCTGGATTATTAGTCCAATGATATTGCCACTACATCACCAACTTGACCAGATCTGATGAAGCTTTTTGCATCAATAGCATCCCATAATTTGATGTTGTCATCAAGGAGCTTGCATGTTTCGATTCTTTAAGGTTTTATTTTCTGTCAGGCACCCACCATTTTGCATGGTTACAGGGCAGGTGGAAGTGGAAGAGTGAGCTAATAAGTACAAGGGGTTTGAGCATGCACGTGAAAATTTTTAAAATTAGAGTTGTGTGAGGACATATTGAATGATCATTAATTCTACTGTATGAACATCAAGGGAAAAGGACAGAGGACTGCGCTGGCAATTTGAAATCTGTGTTGAACATTGTCAACAAGAAAAGGCTGAAAAATGCAGAAAAGACCATAGACCATAAGACATGGGAGCAGAAATTAGGTCATTCGGTCCATTGAATTTGCTCCGCCATTCAATCATGGCTGACAAGTTCCTCGACCCCATCCGCCCGCTTTCTCCCTGTAACCCTTGATCCCCTGGATAATCAAGAACCTATCTATCTCAATCTTAAATGTACTCCAGTGACCTGGAAGCTCATTGTTTTCAGTGATAAGATGCTTGAGTGAATTCAAGACTGAATCTTAATTTTGAGATGGTGTCTCCTACACTGCCTTGTTTCCACTAGAGATTAAATTCTAAATTGCTTTTAGCTCTTCTCTCTGTATGGTTGTCCAAAGCAATTCACAATGAACTCATGAAATAATCAAGCATTCATGAAGGAAGACTGCCCAATACTAATAACTATCTACTGGATAAAATCTGTTTAAAACCACAAAATGGTTTCAGATGGATGTGGGTCACTTGGCCTGTCAGGTTTATGCTGGCATTCTGAAGGATAAATTTACTTAGTGATTGTTGAAGGCATTAGACTGTGAGCCACTCAAGCAGGCTGCTTGATGATGTCCTGGATGATGTTGAGCATTTTGAGAGTTGTTGAAGCTAAAAGTGGAGAGTATCCTATCGCACTCCTCATGTGCCTTGTGGATAGTGGACAGACTTTGAGGTGTCTGCAGAATTCCCAGCCTCTGTACTGTTCTTGTATCTGCGGTATTTTATATGGCTGATCAACTTTAATTTATGGTGAATGGTTAAAACAGAAAGTGCTGGAGAAACTCCAAAGGTCTGGCAGCACTTGTGGAAGTGTAAACCATTCAAACCTGATATATGACTGTTCTTTGGAATGGTTCCTGTCTTGCGTTCAATTCATTTATGCATGTTTGAAAAGGCTTTAATGAGATGAGGAGCTTAATGGTCCTGGAGAACTTAAGACTGAGCATCATTGAGCAGGTTGTGTCCAACAAGAGAGAATCTGAACATAACTTCACGCTCACTGATATTACCATCATTGATTTCACCACCATCAACATCTTCAGGTTTATCATTGACTAGTTTAGCACCACATCCACAAACATTGACGGCCTCCACCACCAATACTCAGTGGCAGCAGTGTGTACCATCGGCAAAATGCACTGCAGCAATTCACCATGGCTCCTTCAGCAGCATCTTCCAAACCCATGACCACTACCATCTAGAAGGGCAAGGTCAGCAGATAAAAAGGAACACTGCCACTTGCAAATCCTCCTCCAAACCACTCACTATCTTGACTTGGAAATATTTCACTGTTTGGATCTAAATTCTGGAACTCCCTCAGTAAAAGCATTGCGAAAGTGTATCTACGGCAGATAAATTGCAGTTATTTAAGAAGACACCTCACCACTACCTTCTCAAGGGCAACTAGGAATGGGTAATAACTACTGGCCTAACCAGTAACACCCAAATCACATGAGAAAATAGAAAACAAACCTGATAGGACTGTTGATAATTCTCATTACTTGTCTGATCAAAGACTGATGGGGGTGGTAATTTGCTGGCTTGGAGTTGACCTGTTTCTCTTTTTGTGTACGAGACATACCTGAGCAAATTTCCACATTGCCAAGTAGATTTTCATGTGTCGCTCCATTGGAACAATTTTGTGAGGATACGTGGTTAACTCTGGAGCACATGTCTTTAGTACTATTGTCAGAATGTTGTTGGTGCCCATAGCCTTTTCTGTATCCATTGCCTTCAGCTATTTCTTCTTATCACATAATGTAAATGGAATTGGCTGAAATCTGGCATCTGTAAAACTGGGGACCTCAGGATGGTGTGTGATGGATTGTCTACTTGGCATTTCTGTCCAAAGATGCTTGAAATTGCTTCAGCCTTATCTTTTGTACCGATATGCTGGGCTCCTGTGTCATTGAAGATGTTTGTTGATTTTCCTTCTCCACCGAGTTGTTTAATTGTCCACCAGTAATGACTGCATGTGGTAGGACTGCAGAGCTTGGGTCTGATCAATTGACTATGGATCTTGCCTTTGTCTGTCATCTGTTGTTTATGCTGCTTGATGCACAAGTGGTCCTATTTTCATACCTTCATTGGGTTGACACCTCATCACGTGGTATGTGTGGTGCCGTTCCTGGCTTGCCATCCTGCACTCTTCCTGAAGAAAAGCCAAACTAGCAGCTTCCTGGTACAGGTAGTGTGGTGGATGTGCCAAATAATTTTGATATATTAAAATCTACCCCATTTAGCATGATGCTAGTGCTATTCGTCGTAATTGAGGGTATCCGCAATGTGAAGATGGGATTTTTTCACTTAAATAACTCTGATAGTTGGTCCTACCAATACTTTTATGCTTGACTGCATCTGATACAGGTAGATTGGTGAGGGAGAGTTTAAGCATGCTTCTATCTTTTGGTTCCTTCACTATCTACTGCAGCCCCAGATTAGCAGCCACGTCATTTAGGACACCGCCAGCTCAATTAGTACTGATTTTGCTGAGTCATTTTTGCTGACGGACATTGAATTCTCCCACCAGAGTGCGTCCTTGCCACACTCATGCATCCTCCAAGTGGTATTCACTATGAAGTAGAACTGATTCATCAGCTCAGGAGCCACATTAGGTGGTAATCAGCAAGAGGTTTCCTCTCGCACCTTTGACCTGATACCATGAGACGTCGTGGAGTCTGGCATCAATGTTGACGACTCCCAGGACAACTCCCTGCTGACTATCTCTGCCGTCACCTCTGGTGGTTCTGTCTGGTAAATGGGACTAGCTTCCCTCAGTATGGTGTTGTTGATGTTTGGGATATAGTTATTCTCACATTGTCTTACAAACAGTTGCTGGACCTGTCTGAGTTGACTCTCAATTTTTGCTACAAGCCACCAGATGTTAGTAAGGAGGACTTTGCAGGATAGCATGTGCTATTGTTCCCAATGCTCTGCTTGACATCAGGTCACCTGGCAGGTATTAGTTCTTTCATTGTAGTGGTTGAAGTAGCATGCTAGGCTGTTTAAAGATTTAACTACATTGCTGTGATCTGGTGTTGCGTTTAAGCCACAACAGGTGAGTTGGATGATTTTCCTTCCTTAAGAAGATCTTGGTTTTTTTTTTTTAAGATTTTGTGATAATCAACTATTATTCCGTGGTCACCATTAGACTCGCTTGTAACTTCAGAAAGGAACTGAAATTTCAACATCTTTTTATGGTGGGATTTGAACCATTCTCCTGAGAGCATCCCAGGAGTAAGCCTCTGGATTACTATCTCAGAATAGTATAATGCCATCACTTGCCAATATTCCTCCTTTTTACAGATAATTGTCCAATTTCGTCTCCGTGGAACTTGCCTCCACCAGATTCCAAGGCAATATGTTACATTTCATTTAGATGTTTGTTTACCAAAATATCTCTTAGTGCAGTTTTTAATTGTGGTCACACTTTGTTAAACTGATAGGACAGAATTAAAGATTTTCTTGCTGAAAATGGATTCTTTTGTAGAATTACCTTACTATGGACTTATTTATAGGCTCAAGCAAATACACGTGCTGCAGTTCTTAAAGAGCAACTTGAGAAAAAGAGAAGAGAGGCTTACGAAAGAGAAAAGAAGGCCTGGGAAGAGCATGTAAGAATTTAGTTTTCCCATTTAGCGTACTGTACCATGTAGCTTTTATCCTTGCTGAAAATTTCTAGCTTTGTAGCTAGACTGTCTGTTTCGATATGAAATGATATGATCTGAAAATGTTATATGCTTACAGTAATTAAAATATTAATGATCAGAACATTTGTAACTGGCAATTGGTGCATTCATGTCATGCTCTTTAGGTTTTAATAAAAGAGATATTTGAATCTAGGATAATATATTGCAGAAACAAGGACATGAAGGATAGGCATAGAACTAATCTTGAGCATTTTCTAAGCATTTATTTAGAGATACAAGAGTTGCAAGCCTGCATCTTCTGACCCTACAACTATAGTCTGTTCATTTTTCCTGTTCCCATACAATTACTTTGGTTTCCTCCAAGGATCTATTCTTGGCCCATTCCTATTTTGCAATTGTGTGCTGCCTCTCAATGATATCATTCGAAGGCACAGCCTTGTTTTCATGGTTCACAACACCCAAACCTCGCTCACTGCTACAATCTTTCTTACTGCTGTACTGTTGCGAATTTATCAGAGGTGCTTCTCTGGCATCCAAATGTTATTCAACTCCTATGCATTTAGTACAGGATGGCCGAGAGTAAGAAAATAAAGGGTAGGAGGATTGAATGAGTATTGTGAGGGTTTACGGAGGGCAGGGGCCCAGACACATACATATAGAAGGTAAGTCTGTGTTGGTGAATGAGAAAATGTGATCTGTGATATGGTTAGATGACACATCACAGGGAAGAGCAATGCAGAAGTTTGAAGGCAATGACATGAGACCCCTGATTCTCTGGGAAACTGAAATTCAATGACTATGGAATGTGCTGTGATAACCTTTTAATGGCGGTGGGGGGGGCGCGTTTAGGATTTTTTGCTAAAATTCACTGTCAGAATTTGGGTGTAGCTGATTGGGTCAGCATTCATTGCTCATTCCTAGTTACCCTTGAAGGTGTTGGTGGCCTTCTGGTCAGTGACTTTCTGGGAAATTTAGCATTGAAGATTGGGTTGGAAAGGAGAACATTGGAAAAGTCCCACGGAGAAGTAATGTCTATTATAGTTTAAATAGTCGATAGCCAAAAGAAATCAGAGGTGGGCACTGTTACCAAGGTGAACAAAAGGTAGATTTATTGGAGCTGAACTCAGGGACTTGTGTGCTGATTTTCGGGTTAAAATGAGAAGGGACGTTGAGTTGAGGCCAGAGAAGCTTTTCTGAGTTCTGAACTTGCTCCTTTCAGTTTTTCTAATGTTAAGTGGAAAGGAATTTTGGCTCATCCTGGATATGGTATCTGCTAGGCTGATGATTAAAATATGAAGCTGCTGAAGCAGGGTAAAGATAGAGTAAATGTGAAAACTGACCCGAACTAAAGAGCTAAAATACTCACACTTCTCTAAATTGGGAGGTGGATATTGTATGTGGAATGTATTATGGTAACAAGTAAGAGATTTTAATTTTCAGTGACTAAGCTATCCTTGTAACATATTAAGTATTTAACGCACTTTTAAAGCTTGGAAGAAACTGTGCCAAAGGTTTCTGAACAGAGAACCCAATAACTTAATGTGGGTCAAGAAGAAAATAGTTTTGCTTGGGTTAATTTTTATTTCAAATTATCTTGTGTGCGAGAATGATACAATTGCCACAGTGTGGAAGCAGGCCATTAGCCCATTGAGTCCACACTGACCCTGTGAAGAGCATCCCACCCAGACTCACCCCCACCACCACCCTATCCGTATAATCCTGCATTTCCCATGGCTAATTTACCTAGCCTGCACATACCTGGACACTACGGGCAATTTAGCATGGCCACTCCACCTAACCTGCACATCTTTGCACTGTGGGAGGAAACTAAAGCACCTGGAGGAATCCCACACAGACATGGGGAGAATGTGCAAACTCCATGCAGACAGTCGCCTGAGGGCAAGATTAAATCTGGATCCCTGGTGCTGTGAGGCAGCAGTGCTAACCACTGAGCAGCTGTGCCGCCCCATCTATAAAGGCTTTGTCATTTTCAAGTTATTGTTGTAGAATCTGGAAAGCAGTGCTGGGAAGGCTCGGGAATTTAATATGTACTTTAAGAGGAAGAATTTCAGGACAAAGACAATAAACAAGGATATAGAGTTAATTGGGTAGCTCCTTCAAAGAGACCTGTATGTTTATAATTCTATGAAAGTAACGCATACACTCTCAAATTTTGTTCAGCTTGCAGCAAAAGGTTTTAAGCAGGTATTTGCAGCTACTCCTATGACATCGGCTGCATCTTCATCCTCTTCCCCAGGAAGACAAGCATCAGCCCCATCTTCCAAACCCCAGTCACCAGCCAAGTCCAGTACACCTACAATTTCCATGACTGCTGCACTGAAAGATGTAGGCATTGTAAGTGTATATTAACTTTTCTTTTAAAAGGACGTCTTCTCGAAATATGAAGTGAATGTGACCTGTGTATTCAATGGAATTGTATATTATGTAATCCATGGCTTTTCTCCCAAATCATGTCTTGCTACTTCTTGAATGCATTTAGCTCCTTGCTTGTGAAAGGGGTGAGGCACAGTGCTTCATGCACACAATTGTAGAAGATTGAAGGACAATTTGATCGAAGTTTTTAAGCAATCATGGTTAACTGAGAGGGTGAGAAGTATTTCTGCTGCTGAGAATCTCGAAGTACATGAAATAACCTAAAAACTACAGCCAGACCTTTAAGGAGTCAAGTTATGAAAAACGTGGACAGAGTGATAGAAATTCAGAACTGTTCTTCAAACGGCAGTTCATGTTGTGTCAGTTGCTCATGTTAAATCTATTACGAGCCAAGTCTGAGGATATGGAGTTAAGTTGGAGCAGACCTGATGGGTCAAATGACTTGCTCCTCCTATTCCTTATGATCTTAAAAATTATGATCTCATTGAATGTCAGACCAGGACCGAGTGGTTTGCAATGTCCTATTCCTGTTTCTATGTCCCCGAACAACCATTGCTGCCCATAAAAGTTCAGAGACATTTTCCGTCTCGGGATCGAAGTGCATTAATTACAGCTAAGTTCAGTTCTCCCCTTGCCTGACATGATATGCATTTAAGCAAGAAAAAACACCCAGAGTTGAAATGTTCATGGACTCTCCTCCTATTAAATCAGAAAATGCTAATAATACACAAACCTGTCAACATCCTTTTTTTTTAGAAAAGTGGAATTTGTATGTATACTTAACACAATATTGTGAAAAAAACAGGGGAATCTGATTAATTACTGGTGGAAGGGGCAGATTGTGCTTGGCTGTAGACTTGGGATGATGAACTGCATGTCTGTTGAAGCAGCATTGCTCTAAAAACCATCCACCTTCTCTCTGTTTCAGTTCCTGGCAGGTTTTGTGTGCTTTCTATAGTCCTCTAAGTGTCACATTCCAGTCAAATGATCTGCAATCTATAATGTAACATAAAACACGACTGGTTTATTGATTTCTTTCTGTGAAGGAAATCTTTTTGACCTTAACCTGGGTACAACTATTTGTGCCTTTCCAGTACCCCATTCCATGTTGGTTAACTTTTTTTTCTCCTTCTTTCTGATGCCTAGGAATTCACTGGATTCTGTGCAGGGAACTAGCAGTGGGCAATAAGTTACAACCTTATTAGTGATGCCCAGATCACAAAAAAGGATAAAGAAGACATAGCAGGTCACAAGAATAATATTATTTCACTTTCCTTTCTAATGTCAGGAAGGAGAAACACAAACGGTGAAGGAAATGTCTGAAGACATGAAAAAGACTGGTGTTTCCATTATTCAGGTGAGAACTTGGCTGGTTTGATGCATAAATTCTAATTTCTGATTAAAGATCAATTTACTGTTCCAGCAGCTATTTATGTTCCTTCAGCAAATATTTGTTCCTGTTCTTTGGGCACCATTTTTATTGCTTCCTTTTTTTTAAAGAAAATGCATAATATTATGAAAAAAACAGGGGAATCTGATTAATTGGCAAGTTTTTTTCAGAGTGGGCACAGTGGGATAAAAGGCGTTTTTCATACTTTGATCCTATCAAAGGAAGATGTAGAGGTTTGGACCACAATTGTGAGATTGGCTTTTTTTTGGTTGCTCCCATGTAGAAGTAACCCAGAATTAATCAATTCAAGATTAATTGCAGTACTTCTAATTTGCTGATGATGTCAAATTTAGTGGGATCCTAAGTTGTGAGGTGAATGCAGAGAGCTTCCAGACGACTTGGACAGGCTAAGTGAAGGTTGAATATATCAGGTGGAAGCTAATGTGCTAAGTGTGATTTTATTCATTTTGGGAAGGAGAAAAAACTGGCAGAATACTTTTTGGAATTGGAGAGAAGTTGGGAAATGCGGGTAGCCTTGCTCACGAGTCAGTAAACATCTAATTTACAAGTTCACCAAGCAATTAAGAGGCCAAGTGGTATGTTGGCCTTTGTCGCAAAGGAATTTCAATATAGGAGTAAATATTTTTGCTGCAGTTGTATGGAGCCTTGGTGAGATTTTACCTGGAGTATTGTGTATAGTTTTGGTCCCGTTATCGAAAGAGGGGTACACTTCTCCATAGGTGAAGTGCAACAAATATTCACCAATTTACTTTCTAGGTTGGTGGAATTGTTTCTAGATTGCTGGGATTATTGAGGAGACTGTATGTATTCATTCCCTCGAGTATCGAAGAAGGATGAGTGACCTAATTGAAATTTACAAAGTTCTTACAGGGTGTGACAGGCTGGAGGTAGATAGTGTTTCCCTTGTTGATGAGTCTAGAACCAAGGTACATGATCTCGGGATAAGGGATTTTAAGTCATAGATAAGGAGGAATTTCTTCATTCAAAAGCTGATGAATCTTTCAAATTCTCTACCCAAGAGGGATGCAGAATCTCAATCATTGAACATGTTCAAGAAAGAAATTGATACACTTCTGGAGACAAATTAATTAAGGGCAGGAAAATGATATTGAGTTAGGTGATCAGCTATGATCTAATTGAATGCTGGTGTAAGCCTGACAGACATGTAGTGTGCTTCTGCCCATATGTTGCTATCAGGCACACTGGTATAATCAATCAATCTAGCACTTTCGGAAGAAACTAGTGGCATGTCCAGCATATTTTAAGTGCATTGTTCCCGTAGCCTTCTTGATAACTCCAAGCCATGGCCTATATTGTGGAATATATTGGTCAGCATTTTTATTGTCATTTCTCAAAAGTTGAATTTTGTTCTTTATCGCCACACAATGGACCATGTTTTCCAATCAAGGTTTGAAACCCTATTTCATATCGTAACCAAACCAAAACATACACATTTAGCTTTGGAGGAATCCTCTGTGTAAATTTCTAGGCCAAGATCATTCCAAATTGAAATATTTTGGTCAGGCCAGGAATCCTCACAGCCAGCATCAGAGTGAGCTAGTGTTGAAACACATCCCTTTTTTCTGACATTAGCTGTTATATATAATGTATGGGAGAGGCAATGGCCTAGTGGTATTATTGCTGGACTGTTAATCCAGAGACCCAGATAACATTCTGGGGACCTGGGTTTGAATCCTGCCAGGGCAGAAGGTGGAATTTAAATTCAATAAACATCTGGAATTATGAGTCTACTGATGACTGTGAATCCATTGTCAATTGTCGGGAAAAACCCATCTGGTTCACTAATGTCCTTTAGGGAAGGAAACTGCCATCCTTGCCTGGTCGGGCCTACATGTGACTCCAAACCCACAACAATGTGACTGACTCTTAACTGCCCTCATCCCATGAATGAATATACAAAAGAAAAATTCCAAAGTTTTAGCCCCCTAACGGACTTTTGGCAGCTGCCGAGAGGAGGTCATTGGGAGAGGGAGTGGAGTGCCAATGGGGTAAGGCAGATGGAGAGGGTAGGATGGCAGATCCAGGGGATGGGATGAAAGATGTCCATGGGCATCAGTTTTTTGGTTCACCTGGAGTTAGAGCATGTTTTAATTCCTCTTACTTCCCACAGTAAACTATTCAAGTGAAACCCTCCAGTCTGACTAACTCAGAGTTAGGGACTTTCTCAGAGGGTTATTGCTAGGAAATTGTCCATTGAGACTTTGCACGGCACAGCACTCACCTTACAGAGTGCATCTGGCCCCCAGCCATCTAGAGGCCGGAAGACCTGGGCCATTCTTCTTAGAGTCTTTGATATTTTCGTTTCCTCTGTGTTTCCAAATATATGGCTATGTTGTGACGTCTGACTCATTGTAGTTAGTTAGAACCCCTTTTCTACAAAGCTCTTGCTTGGTTTTTGTCTAAATTTTGTTGTCTTTTCTTCCAGAAGGAGAAGCAAGAAATTTTGCGCAGGTTAAATCAACATTTTAAATCTCAGGAAAACCATGATTCGGATATAGGGACACACGAGGCAAGTGCTGAGATGTCTAAAACTGATTGGCTGCAACCTGAAGAGCAACTCGAGAGTGGTCCTCACCTTGCAGGGGAAAGAAAGAAGTGGGAAGCAGAGCCTCCACCTGTATTTCCTCTCGCACAGCTCACACTTGAAGAAACCTGCTCAGGGACGAAGGGTGAGAATAAAGAAGAGTTCATAGCTTTACTTCCAATGCCAATGATGAATTTAGTTATAGTTATAAGCTTTATTTTAAGAAATGTATAGGGAGGTGCATGGTGCACAACAAATGGAATACCACCAGTTAAAGCTACATAATTAATTTACCAACTTGAGACCACGAATTTATTGTTCTCCCCTTGAACCAGTCAGCTTGGTATCGTAAAGAAGAGTGGGTGATGGAGCTCAGTGAACATTGATTGTAGGCAGTGTTTGAGCATTGTGGGTGCTGAGCATGGCGAAAGGGCACCTAATCAGTCTTCGAAGTTATGAAGTGATTTGAGCATGCCAGTTTGAAGATGGTATTTCCGCAAGGGAGGGAATCCAAAAAAAAGTGCAACGTACTCCCTAATAAATCCGATAGGTTAATCAGGGAAACACCTTTGCCCAGAGAGTATTTAATATATTGTGCAAGAGAATACTTGATGAATATAGTGTAGTTAAATTTAAGGGGAACTGGAATCTTTACATGAAAGAAAGAGAAAAGCTTTATATTCGGTAATGTAGGAGTGAGACGATGTTTGTGTGAAGGATAAATTACCTGATTTTGTAATTTAAACTGAGAGAATTTGCATGGAAGTCCACATTCTCCATATAACTGTAACACATGACAAATCTGGTTGCAATGAGTCCATTTGATGTGAATACTTCACATGATTCAAGCTATTGATTGTCTAGCTTTCGATGTGTTTAATTTTTGACATGTTCTACTATATTTTGTTTTAACTTTTGGCCTGGTGAGTTTTTCCCCCCCAATTTACTTCTCATCTCTTCCTGTGCTATTGGCTTTCTTGTTGTTGAAGAGCAGGTTCAGCTGGAATTTTGCAACAGCCAAGTTACCTGTATTTGCAGTAACTATTAGAATGAAACAGTTGATCGCAATTGTGTGTGACTACTGGATCAGCTTGTTTCTCTGTCAGGGCCGTAAGGAGTGAGGACAAGTGAAACAAATGTGTTTGAACCATATAGGAGCAAATTACTGCAGATGCTGGAATCTGTACTGAAAACCAAAAATGTTGGAGATCATAGCAGGTCTGGCAGCATCCGTGGAGAGAAAGCAAGCTAATGTTTTGAGCGGAAACATCAGCTTGCTTTCTCTCCATGGATGCTGCCTGATCCGCTGTGTTCTCCAGCATTTTTTTTGTGTTTTAACCATGTTTGCTCACTGGTGAGGGTTACAGCAAAAAAGCAGTTAAATGCAGGAATCTGACGGACAGGTCAGATTGAGAGTACTTTACACATGTGGAGTTTAACTTTTGTGATGATTTGCCAACTTGATTGCATAAAGATCTAACCTGTTCATGATGTATGCTTCATCTATTTAAAAACAATAGCTCAGACCTCAGGAGAAGTTATCAAACTGTTCCTTAAAGATGAACCTCGTAAAGTTTGGGAGAAAGAACCTTCTGACACTGTTTTGAAAGCTTTAGGGGAAGCAGAACTGCAACTTCAGACAGGCGTGTTATTGGATGAGACCTCCGTTAAAAGTAAGTAACTAAAAACTTCGGATATAGTAAGAACTGCTGATGCCGGAGCTGGAGGAACACAGCACGTCATGCAGCATCAGAGGAGCAAGAAAGTTGACATTTCAGGTCGGGACCCTTCTTCAGAGCTGGGGAAAGGGGAAGGGAGCTGGGAAATAAATAGAGAGAGGAGGGGTGGGGCTGGGTAAGGTAGATGGGATGGTGATAGATGAGTGCAGGCAGGGAGTGGTGGGGACTGGTCAGTGAGGTGGTAGGAGCGGATAGGTGGAAGAGAAGATGGACAGCCTCATCCCTGCCTCCTTGACCTGACACAACCTGTCCATCTTCTCTTCCACCCGTCCGCTCCTACCACCTCACTGACCACTGCCTACCTCCACTCACCTATCACTATCCCACCTACCTTCCCCAGCCCCACTCCTCCTCTCTCTCTTTATTTCTGAGCTCCCTTTCACCTCCCCAATTTCTGAAGAAGGGTCCTGACCCGAAACGTCAACTTTCCTGCTCCTCCGAAGCTGCCTGGCCTGTTGTGTTCCTCCAGCTCCACACTGTGTTATCTCTAAAAACTTTGGATTGTATTTTATTTTTGGGATCAACAGGCAGCTGCTGTTATCCTGAACACACAAACTCAGGACTGTGCAGTTTAAAATAAATCTTATTTGTTGATTATGGGTTTCAGGATGGGAATCCTAGATGCTCAATTATTTTTTTTGTTTTGCTTTTTTTTTCCCCCCCTTTATTTGTACCCAGGAGAAGACCTACAGGCTGAAACAACTGAGGAGACACTCACACTGGTCATTGATGCTGCCAATGATACCATTTGTCAAAGAGCACTCAGTGAAACTGTTGAAACTTCAGTAATTGCTGCTGGCCAGACAGCCACATCAGAAATTAAAACAGCAGACCAGCTGGAGATGGAGAATGCTCAACCAAGTGAAAAATCTATTTCTACGTCAAAACCAGTAGTGTTTGATGAGAAGATAGAAGGTATTTTTTTTAATCCATTTTGCTTATGTTCTGCATTCTTTGTTAGATGTGATCAGCTACCACAAGAAGTATTTGACATGACTAACACCGATGTGTTTCAGGATAATGCAGGTAGTGTAACGAATAGAAAGATGGGATTAGATGGAGTAGGGTGGGGCATAAACAACAGTTTGTACCTGTTGGGACAAAGGCCTATTCCTGTGCTGTACGCTGTAGCATAGCATTGTAGATGATTTAACTTGGGTGAAATGACAAGCAATCATTATGGAGGGTTTGGAAGTGTTTTAGGATTTGCATGTATAACTTGAATACAGTATATGAATTCCACTTGTCAATGTGCTAAGTAGCTTTCTCATTTGATCAGTTGATAGATGGCAGGTATTTGATATCTTAAATTGGTTTCAAAAGAAATTACTGGCCTCATGGGGCTTGTGATTCTTTTTAATTTTGTATCTTCTGTTCTGGCATAAAGAAAGACAGAGCTGGGAATTACAGAGCAACTTTTCGCAACCCTGAGGCATCCCAGGTGGTTTACAAATGAATTGCTTTTGAATTGTAGGAAGTGATGCAGGAAGCACAGGCAGCCAATTTGCCCACATTCAAGTCCTACAACTTGGTAAAGACCAGATGATGATTAAGAGAGAAGTATTGTCCAGGACCATCAAATACAATTCCTTTGGAGATAGCAAGAACTGCAGATGCTAGAGTCAGAGTTGATACAGTGTGGAGCTGGAGGAACACAGCAGGTCAGGCAGCATCAGAGGACTCCTGATGAAGAGTCTAGGCCCAAAACATCGACTCTCCTACTCCTCTGATGCTGCATGACCTGCTGTGTTCCTCCAGCTCCACGTTGTATGGGCACAATTCCCCTGCTCTTTTGGAATAATTACCATGGAATTTTTTTTTAACCCAAGGGTGCTGACAGACTGTGTTTACCATCTCACTGAAAAGATGGTGCCTTCAACAGTGCAGCACTCCATCTGTCACTGTCTCCATGCTGTAACTAGAAATCACATTGACAAGTGGGGAAGAAGTTTTCTTCTTCCTCCTCAGAGTGCATGTAGTTGATGATATGATGCCACAGATTCCTGGAAAATAGGAACAGGCATTTGGCCATTGCACCTGCTCTACCATTCACGATGACCATCTTGTTTCTCTTGCTCAACACTGTTTCACAATAACATGGGACGTCTTCAGAAACAAAGGTTTCTAGGGGTTTTCTTAAATAAATTCAGTGACTTGGCCACCTTTTTTATGTGGTAGAAAACTGTGGAATTCCACAGGTTTACCCTCAGGCTTACCCTCCTCTGAATGAAGAAATTTCTCATCAGAGTCCTTAATGGTGTACCCCTATGCCAAGACCATAATTTCTTATTCCACACACCACATTAGTAGGGTATATTGTTCTATGCATACATACATTCAGCCCTGTCAAGTTTTTTACGTTTCAATGAGATCCACCCTCATTGTTCTAAACACCAGTGAATACATATCCAGTTGATCCAATCTCTCTCTCTCATATGACAATCTTTGCATCACAGGAATCAACTGGTGAACTCTTGGTGTACTCTGTGGCAAATAAATCTTTTCTTAGGTAAAGAGGCCAAAGCTATACACAATGCTGAGATCACAAATGCTGTGTACAGCTGCAGTAAGACTTCCTTGCTGTACTCTGAACACTTGCAATAAAGCCCAATGTACCACTTGCCTTCCTAATTGCTTGCTGTATCAGCATGCTTGCTTTCAGTGACTGAGTGCAAGGACACTTGGGTCCCTTGATAAAATTTCCTAATCTATCACCATCTAAAAAAATACTCTGCTGTTCACACAGAAGTGGGCAACTTCGCCTCCGCCGCATCTGCTCCCAGGATGAGGCATTCCACTCCCG